TCTCTCTCTCTCTCTCTCTCTCTCTCTCTCTCTTTATGTAAAATATCTGCGTTTATATGTTTGTAAAATAATTTATTATGTTTGTCTTCGCAGCTTGACAGTTAGTGAAACCTCTCTCTAACATCAGCTGTTTGAATGGACGGGCAGCGCAGGGGGATAAGGGAAACGAGATTGAAGCAAACGTGTATTTGGAAAGGTCTGTTGTCTTGTGCTGACAGCGGCAACATTCCAAGTTTATCTTAAGCAAAATAGTATGACATGACCCATTTTATACAGGAAGGGAGAATAAGAGAACGAGAAGAGGAGAGGACAGGGAGACGAGAAAGAAAAGGAAGAAGAGTAGAGAAAGGTAAATTGAGAAGAAAGGGGGAAGGAATACCCGATCACCCTTTGTCTCGGGAAAATCAGGAATGCAAGATGAAAGGCTGAGGCGTCCAGTGGAATGGCAGAGGGGATGGAGGGTAGAGATGGGGGGAGGAGGAATAGGAGGAGGAAGAAGAAGAGGAAGACGGGGAAGAATGAGAGGAAGAGGGGGAAGAAGAGGAAGACGGGGAAGAGTGGGAGGAGGAAGAAGAGGGAGAAGGAGAAGGGGAAGGGGAAGAATAAGAGAGGGAGGGGGATGGAAAGAAGGGTGAGGGTAAGGTATGTGAAGGTAGATAAAGGGAGAAGAAACAGAAGTATGAAATGGAAAGAAAATGGTGAATGTGGATATGGGGAGCACGAAGGAGGATTGAGGGTAGGGAAGAACGGAGAGGGGGCGAGGGAGGAGAGGGAAAGGGTAAGTCTTGGGGCGCAGAGGACAGAAAAGTTACGAGGGAGAGCTGTTAGGGAGAGTGAGCGGGCACGCGGGACTTGGTCAGACTCACGAGGTGGCGGAGGAGATGACAAAGGGCCGGTGAGAAGGAGGAGGAGGAGGAGGAGAAGGAGAAAGAGGGAGAAGGAGAAAAACAAAAAGGAGGAGGAGGAGAAGAAAGAGAGAGAAGGAAAAAAACAAGAAGCAGGAGGAGGAGAAGGAGAAAGAGGAGGTAAAGAAGATAGAAAAGGAGGAGAATGAGATGGAGAAAGAAAAAGAAGCAGATAGGAGAAATGTCTTAGCGAGACGGAATTCAATGGGAGAAGATAGCTTTGATAGAAACGGTATGGGGAGATGGAGCAAAGGTGGAAAGACTAAATGGAGAAGAGGAAGGAAGGAAATGCATTGCAAGACGAAGAGGGAAGAGAAGACAATGGAAGATAAAGAGAGAGAGAGAGAGAGGAAGAGCTGCGAGATAAAATGTGATGCGAGAAAAGGGGAATTTCCGATACCTCGAAGAAGAAAACTTGGAGAGGATCATGTTTCTCTTGCTGTTAAATGCACATTTTTCTGATAAATATCACGTTACGATAACCTCGAAAGGAAAAGAACATCTTGAAGAGCGAGAGAAAAAATGGCTTTTATGATTGTTCCTTAACTTGGAACAATTGCAAGAACGTGATAGTTTGTGGAAGTATGACAATTCTTCTGTTAAGAGAAAGAGGACAGAGTGATTCAGATGTTAAAGAAACCTTTGTCGTTGTTTTTTTTTTTTTATATTCACAAAGAAATACATGATAAAAATATATATTGTTGCAATCGTTATAACATGTGAATGTGAAAGGGAGACGGCTTCGAGCAACCTCAGATTATGTCATGAAATTGTGTTACTGATGGAGAAAAGGACAGGTGAAGCACGAGCGATCCAAGAAAATTCCTTAAAAGTTAAAAAAGAGTGTAGAGGGGAGTGAAGGGGAAAAGTAGCAATAAGAAGCAGAAGGCAAGGGGGAGGGGGAGGGAGGGAGAGAGAGAGAAGAGAAGAGAAGAGAAGAGAAGAATGAGAGAGAATAAGGGAGACACTCCGGCAGATATATATATAGAGAGGGAAAGGGAGAAGGAGAGAAATAGATTGAGCGAGCACTCAGAGAGAGAGCGAGAGCGAGAGAGAGAAGGAGAGGGAGAGAGAAGAAATTGAGGAGGAGGGAGGACAGCGAGAGCGTGGAGGAGGGCGGAGGTTATCCCGTTACGAATGACAAGGAGGGTTCAAGGTAAGGTGAAGAGCGGCGCGGGCGGAGCCTGATCCTGCCTCGGCGAAGGGTTGGAGGAGGGGGGGGAGGGGGAG